CTGTCTGCACTAGGGCTGCAGCTAACGATTATTTTCATAATCGATTAGTTAGCCGATTATTAGGTTCGATTAATCGGATAAAAAAAAAAGGCTCCAGTGATGGACTACTAGTTTCTATTGAGATTGTAGTCCATCACGGGAGCAAGCATGGCGCGGTGACAGTAAAATAAGAATGTGGTGTGCAATATAGTACATTATACAGCAACGCAGTGCAGAATACCAGCAGCTATAGAGGAATGTAGCAATAGTACATTATGGTATAATGTACTATTGCTGGGATTTGTAGTCCTCTGTAGCTGGGGTTATTCTGCATTGCGCTGTATATAATGTATTATTGCTGGGATTTGTAGTCCTATATAGCTGGTGGTATTCTCCAGTACGCTGTATAATGATTATACGGCGAAATGCAGAATACCAGCAGCTATATAGGAATACAACAAATGCCAGCAATAGTACAACATTATTCTATAATGTACTATTGCTGGGATTTGTAGTCCTCTGTAACTGCTGGTATTCTCCATTGTGCTGTATAATGATTATACTGCGCAATGCAGATTACCACTGACCAGTTATAGAGGAACTACAAATCCCAGCAATAATACATTATACAGCGCGATGGAGAATACCACCAGCTATAGAGGAACAACAAATCCCAGCAATAATACATTATACAGGCTGTTTAATGTATTATTGCTGGGATTTTTTGTTCCTCTATAGCTGCTGGTGTTCTACAGTGTGCTCTTTTTTTTTTTTAAACAGGAAACATTAAAACAGGTCCCCCTTACCTGTTTGTGAACCCTTGTAAGTCGCGGCGTGCTCTACGGGCGTGTGGCCGGCTTGTGCGGTGGCCGGGTATGCGGCATGTGCGCGGTGGGCATGGCGTCCGTAGCGTGCATATCGTAACTCGTGTATGGAGCCGCGAACAGGCGGGCGTGAGTGGGAATTTTAAATTTTAGCTGACCAATCGACGATCGAAAACGTTTTCCATCGTCGATTTTAATCGAATAATTGTTGCAGCTCTACAGAATACCAATGTATAATACAGCGGCACACTGCTGAACGTGGGCGTGGCGTAAGCAGCGTCGCATGAGCGGGTATACCGGCGTAGGCGCGAGCGGCTTAACCTACGGGGGCGTGGCATAAGCGTAGCAGCAGCGGCGAGCGGGAAATTTGAATTTTAGCCGACGAATTGACGATGGAAAACGTTGACAACGTTTTCCATCGTCGATTTTAATCGACTTAATCGAATAATTGTTGCAGCTCTAGTCTGCACACATCCAGTGTTTTGCCAGCAAGAGGACAGCTTCTAGCCAGGTACTTGCAACCTGTAACAGCCTGACCAGTGTTATCCAAAGCAGTGCCAGCCATACCAGTGGCAGCTTAGCAGTGCCAGCCATACCATTGCCAGGCATTGCAAGTACCAGCCGGAAGCAGTCATGTCTGAAATAAATGTTGCAGCAATTCATAGCACAGAAAACCAACAATATGCCTGCAAATTTCACCACCGCCTAAGCACACCTCAAAGCTGGTCACTTCCCTTTATTACATCACTTCCCCTTTAACACCCCATTCAAACTGAGCGGTTTACTGCACGCGCCGCAAAATCGTGCATTTTTCCGCACGATATCGCTCTATGTAGCTAGTCCAATGCATTTCAATGGAGCTGTTCACATCTCACAGCTCAATGTCGCCTGTAGCTCGTCCATGACCCTTTTTTGCGCGGATGTCGCGCGATTCGGCTCCAATAGACTCTATAGTGCCGCGCAAAATCGCGCATTACCGGGGATAATGCGCGGCACAGAAGGTTAACTTTTTCACTGCAAAATGGATGGAAAAAAATGATGTCACATCAAGATTGCTGTTGATTGGTTACAGCCCAATGTAACAGTGACTAAGTCCCACCCAAAAACGCGTTATGTAGCGCGATAAAATGTGCATTGTCGCTCAATGTCGCTTAAAACCGTTCAGCACGAAAACGCGCAATACCCGTGTCGCTTAGTGTGAATGGGGCCTTTAACTCCCTTACTTGCAGAGCATTTGCAAGCTTTTTGGTGCCTTGTTAATGCTTTGAAAATGCCTGCTGAATGCCTTGTTAACACTACAGTCACATGAATCATTAAATTCTCAACGCATGTGTGAAAGAACCCTTAGGCCTGGTTCACACCTAGGTGGCATTGTTTTTACGCGTTTGTGCGCATGTTTAGCATGTAGTTATTTGCACATGTATCTGTTTGTACGTGCATGCATGGCACGCGTTTTGACTAGCAGCTTAAGAAACATTGCGGGCAATGATCGAAGGCTTGTACAAACGCACATAAAAATGTGCAATATGCTTCTGCCGTATTCAAGTTTTCAGGCATTTCTATTGAATGCTATGGGGGAAAAACAAGCTTGAAACTGCCAAAAGAAACTCGTGTAACTTTTTCTGCGTTTGGCGTTTTGCTGCTCAGGTGTGAACAGGGGCCATTGAAAATTATGATATTTCTTGTGTTGGATGTTTAAAAGCGATTTTCCTACTGCTCAAATACACCTAGGTGTGAACCAGGCCTTATAACAAACTGCAGCCTGAATCCTTTCCACGTTGTACTCAGCTTTGTCACCAAAGTGACCTACTAAATGTGCTAAAAAGATGTGTATCCCCAAAGTTATATTCCACTGTACAAAATCTCTGCTCCTAGACCTAATTGCTCAAATGGGAGGATACCTTGGGTCCCCCACTGAACTATTTTAGTTTTGATTAAAAATTTAAAGGATCATAAAACTATTGAGCAGGTGGCTTTATACATGTAGCCACTGTCTCTAGCTAGTGTCCTAGCTGGCTGCTAGTTTGCATTATACTTAAAAGCAACTAGATAGCAAAGTCTCCCTTATACATATAGAATTACAAACTCAATTGAAATGCAGAAAAACCTCATCTATACTTCAATACCAACATTAACAAACAATGATGTTGAGCTTTTTTTTTTCTTTCCTTTTTTACTCCCCAATTATGAAAACTTCCTTCAAGCTAAATTCTGGATACCTTCTGTGTATATTTTATATTTTTTAATGATGTCTCTTTGTTTAAACTAAAGGGAAGCGTAGTTGGAATCAAGTAGGAACATTGATACCAATTACCCAGGGGAAAAAAAAACACATTCTCCAGTGATGGGTTTAAATTGAATAATGGGATCCAATCAGCATTAAATTATAGATTCTGTCCAATTTGTGTAGACAAATGTTGTTAGCAGCACAGTAATGCAAAGATCTAATTGCTAATAGACTTTGGCTAAAAAGTGTTTTTCTCCCGTTCTCTCCACACAAATAACTGCAAGCCAGGATTAGCATTTTGCTCATTGGAGATTTCCACTGTACACTATACTGTTGGTTTCCATGTACAGTGTGAACAAGAAATCTGTGCTATTTTCATGAAGCATTCTTGAAGAAATCTCAATCTTTTTAGATTCAACTCTGATTTAATACATTAATGAAGGACTCAACTAAAGGGGTACAGTGTAGACATGTTTGTACAGTGGTGTCCTGTTGATCATGGTATCCACTCTACATTATAAATGGGCCCCTTAGTTTTGTTTACATCATGTTTTACATTAGGTGTAATGGAGGAGTTAAAATACCTATGTTTTTGGGGAAAATAAATTTAGATTCCATCAAGTGCTAGTCACTTAACCAAAATTAGACCTTTGGTCACATGATTGCTGCAGGCTAGGGCTGCAACCAACTAATTGAGGATCGATTATGAGAATAGTTTTCAACTATTCTCATTACCGATTAGTTGGTTGGATCCCCTAGCTCTCTCCTCCACGCTGGGAGGAGGGCACAGCAAGCAGTGTATGGGTGCAATAGCCACCCGGCTTTTGCAATTTGAAATGACCAATAGCAGGCTGGCTATTGCACCAGCCCACTATCTCCTGTATTTACATTCAGCTGCCGTCTACGGAATCTTGCCACTGGCAACTGTCATTCCCTGGTTGAAGCTATTCAAGCGCCAAGTGCTTACAATACAATAATTGTTTTTAAAAATAAAATATATCTTAGCCTCTTATTTTAAAATAACATCCATATTTTTAAACCGGGGTTCTCTTCAGAGATCAATTTCCAAAGCTGAAAAGCCAACCAATCAGAAGTTTTCATTAAAATTACTCTCATAAATCTATGCAGAAATCTACATGGCTGTTATGTGTATGCTTTGTGTATGTTGCCTTTAATTATGCTGGAGAGACCTGAATGTTCCCTTATTGTCTGCATTCATGTGTTTAATTGTTTAGTGCTTGGCCCATCGATTTTTATCACCTTTGAGAATACTATGTCTATTTCTGTGCTTGTTTAATTATTCTTATGTATGTTCAAGGCAATTTTAGTGCTTTTTGTGAGTCAAAAGCAAATTAAAGGGTTACTCCCAAATTGTTAAACATTAAATTAACAGTAACATTTGAAATGTAGCCAAAAGGGTCAACTCTTCATTTGGAGAATACTGGTAATGCATCTACGCTTTCCCATGTCAGTTCATTGTGTTTGGAGGTGCCTTTTGTTCCCACTAGGCTCCTGAGGCAGTGCTCTTCTGATGGGAAGTAAGCATGAATGTATTGCATTAATTTAGCTTTCAGCTTGAAGGCACGTAATGGGCTTGTATACTGTTTTCAGTAGGGGTACTGTGTGGTGAGATTTGCTTTCCACCCATAGGCTCCAGGTCATAAGGCGGATTTTGCAGAACTTGCAGTGCTCTGAAAGCTTTTTTTTTTGTTTTACAAAAGCTTCTCACTCTTTTGTGATTGTGAAGTCGACTGTCAATAAAGGTGCAGTTTGGACACTGTCTGCAGTACACATAGAAAATTATTTGTGGTCTATTATGCATTTTATTCTTGGGAATAAAATCATTATATAACCTCCAACTGAGAGATTTAGAAAAAAAAAAGTAAAAATTAAGTTAGCCAAACTGCCAATATAAAATAGGGTTTTACTTGCAGTCTTCGCTTTTTTTACACATACATTTTATTTTTCAGGATGTTTGAAGGTAAAAATCCGAAAAAAGCAGAGAAGTTAAAAACACTCTTCTGTTACTTTCGGAGAGTTACAGAGAAACGTAAGTATTTGGCAGTTTTTTAAAGAAGACTTTCTTATTCTGCTTTTTTAAAGTATATGTAAACCAAATCACTAAAATCTCATTCAAACTTTAACATGTTAAGGTCATTTCAATGGATTCTCTCAATATTTTTAATTAGAACAAAATCCAAAACTCTTCTTTTTTTTTTTAGTTTTGTATAGAGTGGAGAGAGTTTAAACACCTGTCAGGTTTTCATTGCTGTCTGTGTCCCAGTTAAGGTGCCCATACACTGCACGATTCTCATACGAGAATCGCGGGAAATCCCATGATCGTACGTGAATCGTGCAGTGTATGGAAGGTGCGACCGTTTCTACCGTACCGTTTGTTTTGCTTGACCGATTTGGTGCAGCGACGCATGGGGTTTCTCAGCTGCCAATAGGATGTGGAAAACAAATATTTCTCTCCCGTTCATTGAAGGACACAGGGCAACAGATCGTAGATCTGAATGGTAGGGTATATCGCCACCTGCAGGAGTAGGACGCTAGGCACATAACAAAAGACAAGACAGCCTAGGGGCGGCCCCTGCTGGTGGCCCAACACCCCACTTGCTGACAAGTCTCCAGTTTTTTGCCTAGCATCAGGAGTGAGGAGCTTCAAATTTTTTCTCTTGAATTCTTGTGGGATTTCTCCTGTTTTTTCGCTGGATCTTCTAGCAAGTGTCGGCAGGGAGACAGGCTGGATGTTTATGGATCCTTGCAGTCTTCCCTGGACGACCGGCGAGCGCATGCAGACTCTGCCACGGTGGGTCGGCTGCGACAACTCTGGCAAGGTGGGTCAAGTCCCCCCTATCCTTGGACAGGGACATTCAGGTGTCTTGGGAGGCGGGAGCCTCCTTGCGGTGGTTGCTTCATTCTCCGGCCTTGGTGCGGGGGAAGTCCTTCCTTCCTTCCTTCCTTCCTGCGCACTGCACGGTAGTCACCACAGATGCCAGCCTTTGTGGCTGGGGTGGAGTCCTGGGCGCCTTGGCCGTGCAGCGTCGTTGGTCGCCGGAGGAGTTCCGTCTGTCGACAACTGTGTTGGAACTTCGTGCGATTCGCTCTTTATCTCCTTCATTGGTCGGCCCAGGTCAGGAGGTGTTCAGGGTTCTCTCCTGGGGATTACATCCCGGGGATGGGCAATTGGCTGGTCAACTACCTCCGTCGACGGTCGGTGGACCCGGGAGAGTGGTCACTGCACCCGGGAGTTTTTAGCAGCTCTGTCTTCGCTGGGGGTCGCCGGAGGTGGATCTTCTGGGGTCTCGGTTCAACCGGGAGGTGGACCACTTTGTGGCCCGGGCCCTGGATCCCTGGGCGGAGGCGCTAGTTGCCCTGGTGGCTCCTTGGGGTCATTACGGTCTGCTTTATGCCTTGCCTCCACTGTATCTGTTGCCTCGGCTTCTACGACGCATCGCGGCCGAGAACGTCACTGTCCTCCTCGTGGCCCCGGACTGACCTCGGAGGGTGTGGTACTTGGATGTGGTTCACCTGGTGGGGGACGCCCCGTGGCGGCTGCCCCTGTGTCAAGACCTTCTGTCCCAGGGGCCTGTGTTACACTCTTCTGTACAGTCGCTGGCTTTGACGGCGTGGCTGTTGAGGGCCAGGTCCTGAAGGACCGGGGGTTGTCGATGCAGTCATTTCCACTATGCTCAGGGCGCACAATGCGGCTTTTTGGAACGTTTCTCATCGCACGTGGAGGGCCTATTTTGCCTGGTGTGAGGCTGGGGCCCTGTCCCCACGTTTATTCTCCATCAGCAGAATTTTTGCAGCGTGGGGTGGCTCAGTGGCTTGCCGTGAGTACTGTGGAGGGCCGATTCTCTGCCTTGGCGGTGCTTTTCCAGCGTTCCTTGGCGTCTACTGCTGGGGTTCGCACTTTTGTTCAGGGGGTCCCGCGCATTGCTCCCCCTGTCCGCTCGCCTTTTGGCTCCGTGGGACCTGAATCTTGTGCTTTCAGTGTTGCAGGAATCTCTGTTTTGAACCGCTTTGGGAGATTCTGCTTATGTCCTTGTCACAGAAAGTGACCTTTTTGGAGGCCATCACCGTTCGGCGGATGTCTACATTGGCTGCCTTGTCCTGCAAGTCCCCATTGCTGGTCTTGCATGGGGACGAGGAGGTTCTCCGTCCTCGGCCGGCACTCCTGCCGGTGGTTGTGTGGGCCTTCCATCTGAATGAGGACATTGCCTTACCTTCCCTGTGTCTGCTGCTGGTCCATGGGAAGGAGCGGGCGCTCCTCTGTCTGGATGTGGTTTGCGCTCTCCATGTTTATTTGGGTGCTGCGGCTTCTTTCCGCAAGACCGGTTCTCTGTTCGTGCTCACGGAGGGCCCTCGCAAGGTCCGGGCCACATTGGCGGCTACCATCTCTAGGTGGATTCGTACTGTTGTGGTTCAGGCGTACGCCGTTAGGGGGCGTGAGCCTCCTTTTCCTGTCACTGCCCATTATACTAGGGCTGTTGGGGCTTCCTGGGCTTTCTGCCACAGGGCCTCTGTTTCTCAGGTTTGTAAGGCCGCTACTTGGTCTTCTGTTAACACCTTTTTGTTAAGTTGTACGAGGTGGATGTTTTGGCATCGGCGGATGCTGGTTTGGGGTGCAAAGTGTTGCAGGCGACTCTTTGAGGTGTCCTTTGGGTGTTTGGTTGTTGTTGGCCATCCCTCAGTGTGTACTGCTTGGTGACGTCCCTACCATTCAGGATCTACGATCTGTTGCCCTGTGTCCTTCAATGAGCGGAGAGAAAATAGGATTTTTGTACTCACCGTAAAATCCTTTTCTCTCCGTTCATTGAAGGACACAGGTCCCGCCCTCTTTTATGGAGTGTACACTCCTAACTGCTTGTTACTTACTGGAGACTTGTCAGCAGGGGCTGCCCCTAGGCTGTCTTGTCTTTTGTTATGTGCCTAGCGTCCTACTCCTGCAGGTGGCGATATACCCTACCATTCAGGATCTACGATCTGTTGCCCTGTGTCCTTCAATGAACGGAGAGAAAAGGATTTTACGGTGAGTACAAAAATCCTATTTTTTTGTCATCATGGTAAATGTTCTCATTCAGTTATGGGTTATATCTGCTTTAATGTTACATTGCTATTTACTGATTTGTCTATAAATGTATGACTGATATTGAGTTGACCTTACTATTACTATTCACTGTCTCATGTGCTTAATGGAATAATCTTATCCCTACAAAAATGAGAAAAATTACAAATAATAGTTAATACTCTACTTTAGCATTGTAAATAACACCTTTTGGGTATAATTTATGGCAACAAGTTAAAAAAAAACAAAGGTCAGTTAAGATAGATTATCGTAAAAGGTATCGTACTTTTACAATCTACTATATTCTGACTGGGTAGTGATGCCTTGAAATCGCACACAGCTTCTTAACTCTAGTGATACGATTTTCTTGCAGCAGGGTCTGCACAGGCCTATAGGAAATATCAGACAGAATCAAACACCGCGCCAGCAGATTTTGGTTCAAGAGAGTATTAATCAATGATGTTCAGGAGTGCAGGGCGATTAACGGGGCGGCTCTCGCCAGGTTCAGAACAACCTCAGCACTGCAAGACAAGACACAGAGAGCGCCTCCATCGCATAAAAACAGAACAGCCGGTGGATATGCACCACCTTTCGTTCTGACCCTTTTATGCCTGTTTTATTCGTCCTTTTGTGAGTACCTTTTATACCATTTTTTTATTTGTGTATTAAAAAGTTTTTATGCGATGGAGGCGCTCTCTGTGTCTTGTCCTATAGGAAGTATGTCACTTTTACATCTTGGCTCCCTAAAATTTGTATTCCCCATTATTGAGAATTCATTGTGGAAGCATAATACCATACTTTGCCTTTTATAATAGCTTTATCATCCTTGTGGAACTGTAAGTTTTGAGGAAGATGTGTCATCACTACTGTATGGTATGCAAGTGATCATGGAGAACTGAAATAATAGTTTTGCAAAGAGTTGATCATAAAAGTAATTTTCAGGACTTAAATACTTTTCTTATTTCCAGGACCTACAGGTTTGGTAACCTTCACAAGGCAAAGCCTAGATCGGTTTCCTGAATGGGAAAAGTAAGTATACTGCTATGGTATGTATTCACAAGAGCACTTCTTAAAGGAGAACTATGAGGTGAGTGCTTTTCACTCACCTCATAGTTCTAGCCGGCCTGTGACAATGAGACTGTCACAGGTCGGCTCAGTAGATCGGGAGGTGAGCGAACACATACCGGCGTTCGCTCACCTCTCGATCCTGTCACAGCCCTCTGCCATGACAGGGGAGGGGCTAGATTCCCCCCTCCATGCTCCGATCCGCCAGCGCTGACTGGCGGATCGGAAGGGGGAGGGGGCGGATACAGCTGGCTCTGCCTCTAGATAGGCAGAGCCAGCTGTCCCTCAAGCAGCTGGGCGGATCCAGACATAATTGTCGGGATCTGCTTCGGCGGTATACTGTGGCGTCTCAGTATAGCTTGCGGTATACTGAGCTTAGGGTGACGGGAGGACGCTAGTTTGTGTCCTCCCGTTACCCTAAGGAGAACTATGGGGAAAAGCCTTAACCCCATATTTCTCTAAGTAGCAATGGCTAGCATATTCATATCATGATTCAGTCCCTTACATAATCCTGGATTCTATTTTTTATTCTTTTACAAGTAAAAGGAAAAAGATTTTTTATACTTCAGTCCTAGTTACTGAAAATCCTGGCAATCAATAATAAGCTAGTAATTTAAAAATTGGCACCCTTCCAACCAAACTACATCTATGCTTGCATTTTTTTATGTTGTGACTACCATACTCTATGGCAGGTGCCTTCAATAGCTTGTTGGGGTTCAAAGCAGTGATAGATGCTATCTTTCAGGTTGCTAAAACTCTATCTAATGAGATATAAGTACTTCAGGGTTAATTTGCACTTTTTCTCCTCATCAACATGCTATTGAAATTTTGTAAATATAAACTTTGTTTTCATTACATGCCTTATTTCAGACCTAGTGATCTCATTACTGGGCTTCTCTGCAATGCAGGCAGATCATGAAAGGTGGAAGGGGATAGGAGGGTGCTGTACATAGCTTCCTAAAGGCATCACAGCACCATGCCTCAGTACTTCTAGACCTTCCTAGACGGACTGCATTTTTATGCAGACCACATCATGGCACTAGCTACATGATGTTTTAGTATCTCTATGTTTTTATGCGTTTCTTCTCAAACACGTACTGTTAGTTTAAAGCTCTATTGAACCGTCTTCTTTTATTATTGTAATCCAGTTAGGCTGCATAAACAGTAATTATTATACCTCCCTTTTTTTTTCTACTTGTGGTGTTCAGTGGGGTGTGCTGGGCGAATGCTTATGTGTGAGAGCAGTGGTACAACTTTTCTATGTCCTGGAAGCACAGAGTTTTATAACTCTTGCTGCAGCAGTTGTTGGATCAGAAAAAAAAGTAGAGAAGTGGTGTAGGGACCTCGTCCAGGAGTTTCTTGAATGATTCCACACTATTAGCTGTAATCACTTCCTGCGGCAGCGAGTTCCAGACTTTAACCGCTCTAACTGAAGAACCCCTTGCACCCTGTGTGTTGAAATTTTTTCCCACCAATTTTTGGTTGTGCCCTCTGGTCTTTGTTACGGAGCTAACCGTAAACAGTTTGTTAATAATGTTGTTGTCGCCCTTGAATAGTTTATACAGGAAAATCATATCCCCCCTTAATCTCCTAACCTCCAAAGAGAACATATTTAATTTTAATAACCTTGTTTCATAGCTCAGGTCCTCGAACCCCTTAATGAGCTTGGTTGCCATCCTCTGGACTTTTTCCAGCTCAAGGACATCTTTTCTGAGTATTGGTGACCAAAACTGGACCGCATACTCCAGATGTGGCAGAACCAGTGATCTGTAAAGTGGCAAAATTATAGACTTGTCCCTGCAATACATTCCCTTCTTAATGCAAGACAGTACTCTGCTTGCTTTGTTTACAGCAGCCTGGCACTGCGAGCTGTTCTTCAATCCCCGATCTATAATGACCCCCAAATCCTTCTCCGTTTCCGACTTCCCTAGTGGCACCCCCATAAGTGTATAGTCCATTTGCCTATTTTTAACTCCAAGGTGCATTACCTTACATTTATCGACATTGAACTTCATCTGCCATACAGTTGCCCACTCCCCTAGTTTATCCAGGTCCTCCTGTAATGTTAGACACGGATTTAGATGTTATATTACCCTCCCAATTTTTGTATCGTCAGCAAACACTGAGACATGGCTACTCACTCCCTCCCCGATATCATTAATAGGTTAAAAAGCATGGGACCCAGCACAGAGCCCTGGGGCACGCCACTTATGACCTCCGCCCAGTCTGAAAAGGTGCCATTAACTGATACTCTTTGTGCACGTTCTTGCAGCCAGTTTTCTATCCACGTGCACACTAATTAATCTATGCCCATAGCCCTTGGCTTATATAACAAGCGTTTATGTGGCACCGTATCAAATACTTTGGAAAAGTCCAGATATACTACGTGCTTGTACTACGGGATTGTAGGTACAAAAGTCTGCTGGTGCTGATGTCCTTGAACTGTGCGAGGGGAATCTGTAATCCACAATTAATGAAGAGTGATGCAATTTCCTAGGCAGAGCTCTGCTGGCGGCAGCAAAATTGCAGTGACAGCAAACAAGTTCAATACATGTAAGGGTGACCAAAGTCCTCCAGCCACCCTGATTCCTTGCTAATGTCCTCCGGTCAGCAGTCTGTCCTCTGGCCACTTCTGTAGGGTGGAGAGAAGTAGGCTATAGTGCCTCTGGCTGGTCTCTGCACTGCTGACACTTAGAGTGGTAGAGGTGAGGTTGACCTACAGTTCCCTGGGCATTCCCTCTCTAGCCTGCACCTTCCTCCATGGTGATCTAGTGCAGTCAATAACCGTTCTCCATTTTGCCATCTCATCACTGTAGTGCTCATGCTATGCGGCTCCTGCAGGTTACAGGGGTTGCCAACCAGGGCTACACAGTACTAAATGAAAGAGTTTGATTGGGCTTTCATTGTCCCCTGACCATTTTGGCCTTACTATTTGTCCATCTCTAAGGCTGTCTTAGGGACACTGAACTGCAAAATGTGGCAAAACCCAATATGGAGGGTTCTATTTACAGTAAGTGCTGCATAACAGTGCCGTCCCCACTCTACAATTTAAGGACTCATGGCAATAAATGGCTGTATAGCATACAGTATGCCCCTATTTTCTCTGTCAGGAGTGAAAGGTGAAGCGTACAGCCCCCATCAGTCAGCCTGTGCAAATCAATGGCAGAGAGTTGCTACGCACACACGCACACATTATATACAGGTGAAACTCGAATAATTAGAATATCGTGCAAAAGTTCATTTATTTCACTAATGCAACTTAAAAAGTGAAACTAATACACGAGATAGACTCATTACATGCAAAGCAAGATAGTTCAAGCCGTGATTTGTCATAATTGTGATGATTATGGCTTACAGCTCATGAAAACCCCAAATCCACAATCTCAGAAAATTAGAATAATGTGAAAAGGTGCAATATTCTAGGCTCAGTGTCCCACTCTAATCAGCTAATTAAGCCATAACCCCTGCAAAGGGTTCCGGAGCCTTTAAATGGTCTGTCTGGTTCAGTAGGAATCACAATCATGGGAAAGACTGCTGACCTGACAGTTGTGCAGAAAACCATAATTGACACCCTCCATAAGGAGGGAAAGCCTCAAAAGGTAATTGCAAAAGAAGTTGGATGTTCCCAAAGTGCTGATAAGTCCCCCGCCAGACGCGAGCACGCGCGTCGCCACGTAAACACGCGTCAGGTGTGCCTACGTATGAAAACGACGAACGCGCAACAAATGTTGGGTATCGCCGCGCACGCCGGAGTGAGAGCAATAATTCTAGGGCCATAAACCAGCTAACAAAACACATTAGTAGAATAATCACATGTAGTAGAATAATCTATTACCACCGGAGTGACTTTATCCAGCTTTGCTCAGTGATCAATGCCACATAACGTTACTATGATTCTCATGCGTGCTTATTTTCAGGCAACGTCATTATCTCCAGCGGTTGATCAGACTCACCAGGGACAATAAACGCACGTTCCTTTCATATACTGCGTTCCAAACAAATGTATCCACGCAAGCCAATAAATCCATGCATTGCACCGGGGGCCCCAGCCGGCGTCCATACATTCGCCAAGAAGACACTGCTCCGCCGCGCATAAGATATCTACTCCAATGGTTTAACCCCCAGCGCCTATTTAAACCTAGACACTGAGAGACTAATGACAAAACATTACAATACACTAAAAACACATTCTAGTAAAATTTCCACAACAATGCAAATCTAAGGGGATACATGCGTACAGGGCCACATGTAAATTTCACCAAAAAACATAAACAAATTTCACCCATATTACTCTGCTTATTACATTCTCCACAGTGACTGCAGTGTTTTCAGAGTAACTCCACTTTTGTTGAGAAAAAAAATCAACCATCTCCGGGTGATCTGTGTACACTGCAAAGAGGTAACAAACTTTGTTGCAGATTCCTACCTGTTTCTGTTCTGAAAAGAAAGCTGTTTGTTGCAGCATGTCCTTTCCAGACTGATTCCTGAATGGGAGGGCCTAGGTTCATTATAACCAGCTGGTGGGCTTCCTGTGTTGTAATATGGAAAGTTGCAGTGTCTGCATCCCTTTTGTAGTAATTAACCCTTAGGGAGTATCTCAGCAAAAATAAATTTCCTATTGCAAGGGATGCCAAAAAATGTACTTGTATCTTAGTGCAGACTTCTGGCAAAATCAATCAGCCAATCACAGAAGCAGGAAATTACATTTTTGGGGTAATTATGTACACCAACTTTGTACAGAACGCCTCCAGGTCGCCATATTGCATCAAATTTTTTTTGACAGATTTGGATCTTTACAGCGGCTAAAATTTTAAATGGAAAGGTCATTTTTAATTTCATTAAATTACAAAATGGTCTGCGCAACAATTGTATATTTTATATTAATTTTTTACAGATTTTTTTTATGTGGAATTACCCTTTAAGAATATCTGAAATCTAGCTGATGAAAGACCATATACATTTTTGGGCAGTTTTTGTAAAAAATTAAAAAAAGCTTAAAATGTTATTTTTTGAATGTTTAGATATACAGTACTGTGCAAAAGTTTTAGGCAGGAGTGAAAACATTTTGTAAAGTAAATATGCTTTCAGAAATAAAAGTGTTAATAGTTTATTTTTATCAATGAACAAAATGGAAAGTAAATGAACAGAAAACTCCAAATCAATATTTGGTGTGACCACCCTTTTCCTTAAAACAGCGTCAATTCTTTCTGGGTATTCTTGCACACCGTTTTTGAAGGAACTCGGCAGGTAGGTTGTTCCAAACATTTTGGAGAAGTAATAACAGATCTTCTGTGGATGTAGGCTGCCTCAAATCCACCTAGTCTCTTCATGTAATCCCAGACAGACTCAATGATGTTGAGATCAGGGCTCAAGTGGGGCCAAACCATCACTTCCAGGACTCCTTGTTGTTCTTTACGCTGAAGGTAGTTCTTAATGTCATTGGCTGTATGTTTGGGGTTGTCATCCTGCTGTAGAAAACATTTGGGGCCAATCACATGCTTCCCTGATGGTATGGCATGATGGATAAGTATCTGCTCGTATTTCTCAGCATTGAGGACACCATTGATCCTGAGCAAATCTCCAACTCCATTGGCAAAAATGCAGCCCCATACTTGCAAGGAACCACCTCCATGCTTCGCTGTTGCCTGCAGACTTTCTTGTACTGCTCTCCAGCCCTTGGTGATCAAATTGCCTCCTGCTACAGACAAATATTTCAAATTTTGACTCATCAGTCCAGAGCACCTGCTGCCATTTTTCTGCGGCCCAGTTTCTATGTTTTCGTGTATAGTTGAGTTGCTTAGCCTTGTTTCCCCAACAGAGGTATTGCTTTTTTACCACAATTCTTCCATGAAGACCACTTCTGGCCAGACTTCCAGGACAGTAGATGGGAGTACCTGGGTCCCACTGGTTTCCGCCAGTTCGGTGCTGATGGCACTGCTGGACACCTTCTGATGTTGAAGGGAAGTAAGCATGATGTGTCTTTGATCCGCTGCATTAAGTTTCCTTGACCGACCATTGCGTCTAAGGTCCTCAATGTTGACTGTTTCTTTATGCTACTTCACAAGAGCCTGAACAGCACATCTTGAAATGTTTGTCTGTGAAAGACTTTGCTGATGCAGTATAACTTCCTTGTGTCTTGTTGCTGTGTTTTATTCTTGCCATGGTGTATGACATGTGAAATGAAACTGTCTTCCACAACCTCACCCTAGTAGCAGAGTTTTGCTGTTCCTCTCCCAGTTCTAAGCCTCTTACACAGCTGTTTCTGTTTCAGTTAATGAATGTGTTTCAACCTGCCTATGAAATTATTGAGCATTAGCACCTGCTTGGTATAATTGGTTAATCATACACCTGACTTTAATCCTGCAAAATCCCTGACTTTTGATTGATGCTGGTTTGAAGCCAAAGGGAAGTCGCACCAAATATAGATTTGATCTACATTTTTCTTCTGCCCACTCACTTTGCATTTTGTAAATTGATAAAAAATAAACCATAAACATATATCTTAAAGCTGTCTTACTTTACAGCATTTTTTTCACACCTGCTTAAAACATTTGCATAGTACTGTACTGATGAGATTATTACAGCAGAATAGATTTAGGAAAATAATTTTTTTTACATAGAAATGGTTATACAAAAATATAACATACAGTACCTGTAGCTTTAAAACTGGATGATCCATGTTTAAGTACTTAAAGGAAATCAATCCACACACATGTATTTATATTGGGTGTAGATGACTAATGTGTTTTTCACTTGTGTAGATCAACAAAACAGCTGAGCCGACTGCACATTACATGTATGGGTACAATTGAAGGAAATGGACATGGGATGCTGCAGGTGAGTGTTAATTTTCATGGAAATGATGTAATACTTTGCAGTTACATTTGTGTAATAACTTTTGTGCAACTCCAGCCAGAAGGATATTTTTGTAGGAATTTGCATCGAACCTTCTTTAGTTTAATTTTAATTATTTTTTCCAAATGTATTTGACCCTTGGGGAGATTTTCTTAACATCCTGTCCCAGGAACAGCCCTTATGTGTTTCAGGGTGTCACTGAGACAGGACTTGAGTGAAAATCTCCCCTGTGAAGTCAAAGAGCATTAAAATCTAAGAGAGACTACATTAAAAGATTGTTGGGACCGAGGATCAGGTGAGTATACCTATTTTTTTTTAGACCCTAGACCAAAACGAGCACTTAACCCTTGCAGTGTAGGGCTAGCCCACTGCAATGGTTCATTTTGTACATGCCTGGAGTTCTTTTTGAAGCACCCAGTTAGGTTAAATTGGTTTGTGAGGTTGCAGTTCTTATTTAAGTGCACACCACTGAGCATTGCAGAGTTTTGTTATTCCTAGCCTGTGCATTCTCCAAGGTGGTAATTATCATTTGGATTATCTTCTATGATGCTAACTAGGGATGCACAGAAATTATGGCCAATGAAACATATCGGCCGAAAATGATACTTTGGGCAAAATGCCAAAAGTACCATCTTTCGGCCAATATTGCGGTGCATCCATAGTTTCTCTCCAACCTCCTGCGTGCTGCTCTGTGTCCGCGTTGACACAGAGCAGTGCCCAGCAGGGAGGAGAGAAACTGTCCGCAGGCTAAGCAGGGCGGGGAAGAGTGAGCCGCGATGTCACAGAAGGCTGAGCTTTTTTCCCTGTGACAGTAAGCAGTGCTGGGAAGGATTCAGCTGCCAAATGAGCGCAGGCTCTCCTCCCCGCACTGCCGATGTTTACCATCTCTGCCTCCTGTGACAGCGAGTCAGAATGTAGAGCGGTATACAAACACTCAGCGATCAGTGATCACTGAGTGTTTGTAAATAATTGAGGACATACTATATATACTGTGTAACCAATTATGAATCGACAGGAAGTGCTCTACATTCATGAATGTGGACATAGTAAACATACTATAGCCACAAATTATGAATGAGCAAAAATAAAAAAAATATATTAAAAATAAAGTTTAGAAAAAATGAATCAAAAAAATATATAAATAAACAAAGGTTAGAAAAAAAATAATTTCATTTCCAGCCCGAAATTTTTTTTAATTTCTGGTTTCGGTCACAAAATTTAGTTTCGGTGCACTTCTAACGCTAAACAAAATTTTGTTTTATTTTATGCAGTTTTGTGTTTTTCTCATCTAAGCAAATTGCACAAGTAGGTCATGTGTAGAAACAAACATGTTAAGCATTGTTTTGTTGGTTGCTTTTTTATCATTGTTTTATATAACCTATATAAATAAAACTAGGCCTTTTGTAATTCCCGATATTTTTTTGTATCTATTTTTTTAACTTGTGCAAGAAAAACATAGGAGTAAGTTAAACTCCATACCAACAGCACAATACATGGACTTCTGATTATACAATTGCTTTTCAGTTTTGACTAAATTAATGCAGTGTTGTAGCAACAAACCTTCCTTTGTTTTCCCCTCCACACTCTCTCTCCACCACACACACACACACACACACACACACAGTCTGATTTTTTTGGCTGCCAGCTTCATATTTGATGTTGCTCCTGATGCTGCCATAATTTAATGATCGAAACAGAATAATATGTTCCTATTTGAAGTGTTTTGACAGGGTTAGAGTGTCCCCGGGACCTGTTTTCCCACCGTGTGTTGTAGGCCAGTGATCCTTTACTGATAAATGACATAGAATTGTGTGGCATGGACAGCTAAAGGTCAATAGGTTTGGTTGCTGATGTAAGATTGATATATCTGTCTTTCCAAACTGTGTTTATCAGGGCATGGAAGTGTGATATGAAATGTACAGGCTTTCCTGACAGCTAGATGGAAAGCATCCGGTTCCTTGGTTTAGCCCATTCACAAGGATGTTGGATTGCACACGTTTGTTGCATACTGGCTACATTTGTATTGTTCATCTGTTTATTACTCCAGGGACTATAAAGAAGAACACAATGAAACATTAATTTATAAATATGCATTCTTTATAGCTGTTTTGGATGCACTGTTAAAAGAAAAAGTAATGTTTTGCAATGCTTTTCTGGCCTATACAGGAAGTCAAGCCTGTTAAAGACAACATATTACACTTGTGCTTAAAAGTTTGCATACACTGGCAGAAATCTTGAAATTTTGGCATTGATATTAGAAATAGGACTAATGTCAAAAAACTGTCTTTTATTTAAGGATAATGATCATATGAATTTTTGTTATCACATGTTGTTTGGCTCATTTTAAAATCATAATAATAACAGAAATCGCCTGATCAAAAGTTTACATACCCTGGAATGTTTGGCCTTGTTACAGATACATACAGGTTAAAATGGCAATTTAAAGGTCAATGTACCACATCGGTGGGCTTTTTTTAATTGCAATTAGTGCTTGTGTATAAATAGTAAATGAGTTTGTTAGCTCTCACGTAGATGTACTGAGCAGGCCAGATACTGACCCATGTAGATGTACTGAGCAGGCCAGATACTGACCCATGGAGAGCAGAAAAGAACTGTCAAAACACCCACGTAACAAGGTAATGGAACTTTATGAAGATGAAAAAGGATATAACAAGATATCCAAAGCCTTGACAATGCCAGTCAGTGCTATTCAATCACTTATTAAAAAGTGGAAAATTTTGCAGAAGAACTGCCAAAGGAAATGTTTGGAATTTAAAGAAAAATCCACTGGTATCCTCAGGAGAAATACAGGCTGTTCTGGAAAAAGGAACACCGTATGACAATACTTTGACAAAAATGAGCTGCATTGTCGAGTTGCCAGAAAGAAGATTTTACTGCACCAATGCCACAAAAAAGCCCTGTTACAATATGCCTGACAACACCTCAACACTAATTTGGAGTGACGAGACCAAAATAGAGCTTTATTGTCACAACCATAAGCGTTATGTTTGGATAAGAGTCAACAAGGCCAATAACTGCAAGAATACCATCCTCACTGTGAAGCATGGTGGTGGCTCACTGATATTTTGGGGGTGTGTGAGCTTTAAAGGCGCAGGGAATCTTGTGAAAATTGATGGCAAGATGAATGCAGCAATTTATCAGAAAATACTGGCAGATAATTTGCATTCTTCTGCATTAAAGCTGCGCATGGGATGCTCTTGGACTTTCCAGCACGACAATGACCTTAAGCACAAGGCCAAGTTGACCCTACAGTGGTTGCAGCAAAAAAATGTGAAGGTTCTTGAGTGGCCATCACAGTCTCCTGACCTTAATACCATCGAGCTACTCTCAGATCTCAAACCTGCGGTTCATGCAAGACGACCAAAGACTTTGCAATTAACCAAAACGAATGGACAGCTATATCACCTACAAGAATTCAGGCCTCATAGACAACTATTACAAAAGACTGCACGCTGTCATTAATGCTAAAGGGGGCAATGCACAGTATTAAGAACTAAGGGTATGCAGTCTTTTGAACAGGAGTCATTTCATTTTTTTTTTTTATTTGTTGCCATGTTGTTTATGATTGATAGTGCCATTCTGTTATTTCCTACAGTTGAATATGAATCCCATTATAAATAAAAGAAATGTGTTTTGCTTGCTTACTCATGTTTTCTTTAGAAATGGTACATACAATATACTACCAATTCTCCCAAGGGTATGCAAACTTTTGAGCACAACTGTACTTCTTTAGTTTGCCGACAGCTAGATAGCCATTACTGGCAGTGCAACTGATCAAACTCCACATATAATATTTTTTTTTGGGCAATTGTTGGCCACACTGAAGCTCTTAATTATTCATGGCATTCAAAAAGTTTTACAGCCGATTGTTTGAGACAATCCAAAACCGTGCCCCATGAGCCATTTCCATCAATGGCACTTGTGCGTTTTTTACTTTTTCTATAGAGTTATTCAATAATTGTTTGTTGGCTACCTGGTTTTCCTAATGAGACTGGTTTATCAACTAACGAGAAGGTACATAGTTGCTATTTTTGAAAACAATACATAATTGTTGCTGGTTTCAAGATGATTAATTAAAGGTAAATTTTTAGGCTTCATTCACATGGGGCGATCTGGCATTCCTGCAGCAAGAACCTATGGATTCCTTCTGCAGGATTGGTTGGTGTTCCTGTTGAGATGTGGCCACTGTACATAATTAAGTCAAAGTGACCACACCCTCATCCGTGAGCTGCAGTCATGGCATGATTACGTGCGGTTTGGGATAGATGATTGTCGCTGGGCACAAGATAGACGCGTTCCGAAATGGTCATCTATTTCAAACCGCATGTAATTGTAGTCAGACTGCTGCATGATCACTGTCCTTTACCTCAATGGGTACAGCAGCCGCATCTGAACTGGGATTCCTGCCACAGGAATTTGTAGGTTCTTGGTGCAGGAATTCCTAAATTTCTCATGTGAATGGGGCCTAAGACTGCTTAACCACCAAAATGCTGATTGTAGTTTTTTGTTTTTTTCCCCTTCTGGTTAGGTGGATTTTGCAAATCGTTATGTTGGTGGTGGTGTGACAGGCTCTGGTCTTGTCCAAGAAGAAATCCGCTTCATTATCAACCCCGAGCTGATAGCATCACGACTCTTTACAGAGGTATTGGATGACAATGAGTGCCTTATTGTCACAGGTGAGCATAATTAATCGGATTCCATAGAAAGAAATCGCTTTATACAGCTTCTCAATCAAAGGTCTAGCCAAGCTTCTTTTTTTTTTTTTTGACCGTTTTTTTTGTTGTATAAAATAATGCCCTTTTCTTTAAGTCAAACTGACACATGTCTCTGCCTAAAAATTAATGGTTGAGCGCATAGTTTAAATATGTTCCAACGATTAACATAATAGAGGCTGCACATGTACCTTCACCTTAGCTACAAAACAACCTTCAAAAGAAAGGCCAGCTAGTTCTAGCTGAAGCTGGTACCGTTTTACTGTTCATTTTTAACTAGCATATTACAAGAGGATTGTTTCGCTGCTTTAGAAAGAGTAAAGGTGCCCATACACCTTACGACCATCGCAAGACTTTTGTCTTGCGATGGTCGTATGCTTCTTGAAAGCCCGTACGATCTGCCCACCTTGGACAGGCAGATCGTACTTGCGATCATCGAAAGCCCGCCCCGCTGAGGGGCGGGCTTCCGATGACGACAATGCAGAACGGGCAGTGTGCGCGTGTGCACACCGGCCCGTTCCGCAGCTATCGGGCGAGCAGGCTAGAAACCCGGCGAGAATCGTACGATTCTCGATGCGTTTTCGAACACGTTGGCTCGACAAAAGACGTGCGACCGTACAGTAGAAACGGTCGCACGTCTTAGTTCACACTGCTCGATTCTCGTACGATCGCAGGATTTCGCCCGATTCTCGTACGAGAATCGAGCAGTGTATGGGCACCTTAAGTTGAAAAAAAGACAAGATGGTTGAAAGACAAAATGGCTGAACATTAAAAAAAATGAAGGACAAAGCTAATGCATACATATTCTTTCACACTCTCTCACGCGCTCAGTGCAAAATTAGGATGAGTGTCCGCTTATTGCTGATTTATCTGCATTGCCAACCGCTGTACTTTGTTTTTTGAGATTAGTTAAGGTCCGTTTTATTTAATTCCTCTGTGTAAGTTTACATTAAATGCAAAGGATAAACCTATAAGGTAGCAGTTTTTTGTGCATCCATTTCATAGATTTACGCAGCTATGTCACACAGCCCTCTCTGCCAGCATAGGAGCCCTGATTTTTCTCTGCCTCAGTTAAATAACACACGTCTTGTCCCTGGCCTGTGACTGAACAGTGATAATGAAAGCAGCAGACTGAACGTTACTCCTATAAGCATGCTTATTTGCACAAGGGCACTGCAGCACAACAAACTAACACCTTGTTCTGCTTCTCCTCCTGAATTTGACTTGCGCTGCAAGTCAAATTCAGATACTTGCACTGCTTGCAGTTACAAGATAAATGTAATGAAATATTAATGGATTCAAAGCTTCATTAATGTGTGTCTTAGATCTGCCTGCAGTTCAGCTTTATTGCATGGCCAACCCACGTACACTAGTACTAAATATGTTGAAAAACAAACACTTCTGCTTCAACCTGTAAACCCTTTTTTTTTTTTTAAATCCTTTTTTTTTTTTTCTCTTCAGTTAGCTTTAACCACTTGAAGACCAGGGTGTTTCACCCCCTTCCTGGCCAGGCCATTTTTCAGTATTCAGCGCTTTTGTACTTTGACAATTATTCCGTCATGCAACGCTGTACCAAAATGAATTTTATACTTTTTTGGGGGGACAGATAGAGCTTTCTTTTGGTGGTATTTAATCACCACTTTATTTTTTACTATATAAAGGAAAAATTGCTGAAAATTTTGAGGGGAAAAAAAAAACTTTTCCCTATGTTAAGCAATGAAACATTGCACATAAATTATCTTTGTTCATAAATTTAGGCCAAAACTTATTCTGCTACATGTCTTTGGTAAAAAAACAAATAAGTGTATATTAAGTACAGTGTTTGAAAGTTTTATACAGTCCACAGACTACAGTATATATATTTAAATTGCATCAACCCTGGTGCCCTGACTGCTTATTGCATTTCTTCAGGCGCTAAAATGCCAGGAAAGTAGAAACACCAACAAAATGACCCAATTTTGGAAAGCAGACACTTCCAAAAGTGTCTTTCCAAAGCCTTAAAGAGGCATGCTGAGTTTTTTGATTTTAATTTTATAGCCACAAGTTTTACAAATGAATGAAGAAAAAAAATGTATTTTTTCTTTTTTCACCTTTCTAAAAACTTGTGGCAATAAAACGAAATCCTCCAAAAGACTGCACCATGCCTTTTATTAAATACCTTGGGGTGTCTTTCCAAAATGGGGTCATTTAGTGGGTGTTTCTACTGTCCTGGCACTTTAGGGCCTCCACAAATGTGATAGGTAGTCAGGGAATCACATGCGTAATTTATGCTTTTGAAAGCCTCAAGGTGCTCCTTGGATTCTGGGCCCCTCTATGCGGCTACGCTGCTAAAAGGTTTTACGTGCATGGTATCCCCATACTCAGGAGGAGTAGCAGAATGTGTTTTTGGGTGTAATTCTAAGGATGCCTATGCTGTGTGCACTGTCCAATAGACAGTGCAAGCACAGTTTCCCCGCTCCTACAAGGCTCCGGTCTGGCCGTTTACCAACGGATGTGGACGGGAGGTGGTTAATAGGCCAATACATTCAGCATCATGCTTCAGCACCGAACCTGGGCTCCTCCCCCTCTGGAGCGCATTACCCTGTTAGAGGTGCATTCGCTGATGTGTTAGTTACCACAGTCACACTGTATACTTAATGGGTTCGTTCACCTTTTCATGGAAAAGGTGAACAAACCCACAACTCCTTCCTCATCTTGCTCACAATCCCCCCTACCCCCTGGTTCCCACTGCCCTAAGCTGCAAAAATGACCATCGCCCACGCAGGTATAACAGACCCGACACTTGAAAACTTCACTACTGAGAGTCTCTCCTTTCTTGTGGGAAAGGCTCTCAAGAGATTCTCATTGGTCGACAGTCACATGACCAATGACTGCTAATTTTTTTATTTTTCTGTAAAGTTAAAACTAATCTTTTATTTTTGAAATTTGTTTTGTCTTGGTTGAACCTTAATCATATTTCTGCACATCTGTAATATACTGTCAGTTTCCCTATGAATATTTTTAGAGATACAGGCACCTCCGTTGTAATACAAATTACTATTTTGGATGAGATTTTTGTCCTTAATTTAAGGTACTTTTTTCTAATCCACTTTAGTTTATTAGAGTGTCTGTTAATGAATTATTGTGATGTGGTGTTCTGTCCCATTAATGGAAATAGCCATTTCATCATCCTTGTTATGTGGCTGGCTGTGTTCCATCTCTCTTTTCGGGCCAGTCCTCTCATTCTGCCACACTCTTTCTTCCAGACAAATTACATTCCTTATGACTGAGGCTTCATGACTTGAGTCTAATGGATGAAGCAATGCAGCTTTAATTTGTACAAGAGCTTGAGATATTGAAAAGAAATTAAATTTGCTGTGATTTTTTGCTGCATCTGCTTAGCATCGACTTCGTAATGGTCATAGTTCTAGTCAGTATTATAACATCTTCCAGCTACAAGATGTCTGAGCAGCATCACTGGCAAATCTCTTATGCCTTAAAGATGTATAAGATCTCAGCCACCAAGCTGATTAGCTTGCTTTATGTGCTTTGCCTATAGTTAACTGAGTTAGGAACACACAGATCTGTTCTCAGTAATGCTGATTATATAGCTTTTGTTAATTGCACACTTTCATGGTTTTCTGGAAGTTATTGCAAAAAGGCATTAAACAAATTAGGGCTTTGTTACTGTAAAGGAAAGCCTATCTGTTCAGTGTATATAAACCAGAACAATGGAGCTATTGGTCCTTCATACATACCATTGATATGTATCATGTATCATGTATATGTATCAACAAACTAACACCTTGTTCTGCTTCTCCTCCTGAATACCATTGATATGTATCATGTATATGTATCAACAAACTAACACCTTGTTCTGCTTCTCCTCCTGAATTTGACTTGCGAAATTAGGGCAAATTAAACAAATTAGGGCTTTGTTACTGTAAAGGAAAGCCTATCTGTTCAGTGTATATAAACCAGAACAATGGAGCTATTGGTCCTTCATACATACCATTGATAATATTTTGTGTTGTCAGTTCTATAAGTGTGAAAAATACCTGTTGATCCTACCAGAAATCATGTGAGTTTTAACTTTGTATGCGACACTGTTGTCAGTTGCATGATTTCCAGATATCTCTGTGGACTGCAGATTACTTTCCCCTATGTTATGAAGATGAGGGGGAGAGCTGTCTTATGGTGACAATGCTGCTCCTCCATAGATAAAATATAGTGAATGCAAGGCATTCTGTGAATGGAGGTGATGAATTAGAGTTGCATACCCACCCCTTTTCTCTCCTGGTCAAATCACAGCACACCTTTTGTGTAAAAATACAAAGCTTTTTATAAATAAATGAGGGGACACGAAGGAGTGGGTATACAACTGGAGCCCTTCACTTTCTCAGCTGCAGCTAATTCATCCCTACAGTGCTGAAGTATAGCGCTGTCTCTAGTATCCAGCTTCAATCAAGGTATGATTTATGCAGTAACCAGCAGCCACCCACACACAGAATAGTCATTAATAGAGGTAAATATAAAAACAATAAGTGATCAGTGCCAGTAAATAAATGCAAATAAGAGCTACTAGGCATTCAAGATAAATATATAAAAAATATATAAAACATGTATGACAATCAAGTGCCGAGCTAAATAAATATATACAATTCAGTAAAATATGTGATATAACAATAGGATATTTGAGTATGCTTTAAAAATAGCATAGCATATAGCATAAATAAAAGCAGGCACTCACAATGTCACAGGTGACAAAAAGGCATAAAACAAAAGCCCTGAGCATTTGACGTCCCTCTTCTCAGCTGAGCTGGACGGACAGGAGTCCCATTGCACCCATAGATTTGTACTGTGGTGTCCATTGGATATTTGTTTTATGCCTTTTTGTTTATCACTTTGTGACTTTGCATTTATCACTCTGTTCACATTTTTTCATGTTTTGATATGCTCTTTTTAAAGCATATACTCATATATCTTGTCATTATATCACATATTTCACTGAATGGTATATATTTATTTAGCTCGGCACATGATTGTCGTACATTAATGGAGGTAAGTTGTTTAACTTGTGCTGTTTAAAAACACAACAACTTTCTCCTATATTTTAGCTTTAGGTCGAGCCAGTTCATCTGCTAACTCTGCTAGAGCCAACATGCTCCTCTAACTTGTTTTTGTTTAGTGTCATTTACTTCTGAGACGTAAATGATGCTTGCTGGCATTGTATACAAATTGAAGTAGTTGTGAGTTTTAGTGTAAATTTAAAACTGAACTATGAGTTCAGCTGGAAAATAAAATCCTAACATATGATTTATATGTAATGTTCAGATTTGTTTCCTTTTATTTGTAGGTGCAGAGCAATACAGTGAATATAAGGGATATTCTGAATCCTACAAATGGGACCGTGTTCATGAAGATCAAGCTCCAAGGTAAGCTTATTGTATTCACTACTTGTTTACTTTAAACTGCTTATTTTGGATTTAAAGAAACTCTCTCTATAATAGAAATAGCCAAAGGTCCACCTGCAAAGAAGCAAGAAGCAATACTTACTCTCACCTTCCACGTAACTGATGAAGAGGAATCTTCCTCGAAGGTCTATTTGGAAACCAACACTTCTAGAAGTGTCGATCTCCTGTGTCCCCCACTGTGCTCCCCACTTGGCCCTCACTTTAGTAACATAGGAATTGGAGAAACCATTGAGTGAAGCTGGGAAAACAGGAGATTGACATTCCCGGAAGTGTTATTTTCCAGTGAGACATTCTGTATCACTGCAGCATTTAGCAGCCCTGGTAGCGGGAGAATTAAGTATTCAAAATATAATTCTGGGGGGTTTAAACAAATTTGTAGACTTAAAAATATGCATTTGCTTAAAAAACGTATCTGGCATTGAAAGGGTTAAATACTTTTTGCTAATTGAGATTCATTGTGATTTCTCTTTATAGGTCATACTGTATTTCCTAATGTGTCACCAACACTTGTTTGATTTAAATCTATACAAACTGAATTGCTTCCTCCTCAACAATGGTCTCTGTATAAAATGACGGAAGTATTTGTTTACAGGTATGTTTTTCTTACTCCCTTCTTATCGCACACAGGGACAGCTGGCAGAGACGTACTACAGAAATTGTTGCAATTGATGCGTTTCATTTCCGACGTCATCTTGATCAGTTCACTCCGGACAAGATAAAAAGAGAACTGAACAAGGCATGTTTGTTGTTTTTGTGTTGTATTTTTTTTTTTTTTTTTTTTTTTTAATTTTTCTTTTTTTGGGGTTTTTT